TTTACATTCAAACTGTCTACATGTTTACTTGCACATTGTCTATTGTTTGTTTGTACATTGTCTTGATGCACTGTTTGCACTTTGTTTTGTTTTTTACACTTATTTTACAATCGAGAGACTTTCTGTAAGTAAGAATTCCATTGTACCAGTACTGGTTACATACTGTATGGCAATAAAGTTCAAGTTCAAGTTCATTATATTATATTATTTAAATCTGCTATGCTTGAATGAAATGTGCAGCCAAGTATCCTCCTATCGAGAGGAACACTAACTCTGGGGGTCTCAGATGAGACAGACATGAATTAGAAACAGGAAAGGCTGGCACTGCTGTACATTAACTGCTCACCATGGTAGTTCTTACCAGTTCTAATCAGCTGGGAAAGCTCCATCTTGTTTTCCCAACCTGGGTGACCTACAGTGCAGTTAATCAGTATCTCTGTGCCAGAAAGCCTAGATATGTCAACTGTGGCATTTCTAGTTACAGTGATAGTGCCATTAGGATTAGTGACACTGTATTCCTCAGAGTTTTCAAGAATTTCCTCTTCCTTAATATTCCAGGAGATTTCTGGTGCTGGAGCACCAGTAGCTGAGCATGTGAGCGAGAGTATTTCACCGGCATCAGCTTCCAATGTCCTGACTTCAAATCTGGGCTCATAGATCTCTGGAAAGCATTGAAAAAATAAGAAGGTAATTTTAAAGAGTGGAGCTTCAATATCATTTACAATATGAAATGAAATCATAAAGAAATCAAACACTTACTGCTACATGTGGGAATAAGTGTGCACCTTGTTCAGAGGTTAATGTGTATGAAGCAAATCATGTGGTTTGTGTTTCTCATAAAGGAAAACTGGTCAACTGAAAATCAATCACATGTGCACACACCCAGACGTATATATTATTTTTAGTAGGAGTTTACCGTAGACAGAAAGGCAGGTTTTTCCTGCAATGGCTCCTTCAGGAAATGAATTGAATAAACAGCTGTAACATGTCTCATCTATTTTTGTTACCCCTTTGATGGCTACTGAGCATTTCTGCAGCCCAGTCTGTAGAAAACCCAAGCGCCCACTCAAAGAGTTGATGATCCTTGCTCCTGAACGTTTATTGTAAGTGGCGATATTTTCAGGTTTACGTGCTGTCAGCTTCTGCCAGGTCACTTGTAAGACATCCTTGGGCTGTGTGAGCTCACAGCAGAAACTCACATCCTGTCCCAACACTGCTGAGACAATCCGCTGTGTCCTCACCAGCTCTGATGACCCTGCAAGTTGGGGAGAAATATCACAAACAGTTACTTTGGAATCATCTTGGTTGTTGCTGTGATAAAGGGAACTGAGCCAGAAGTAAAGGCCCACTGTCTGAAAAATGTTCGATTTCACCAGCAAAGCAAACATTCATGCTATGGCTCCTGCTGTGTCACCAACTCTCTACATCCTCAGAAATAACTCAAAAGCTTTTAATCCAATTTAATTCTTTTAGTCATTATTCAATTTGTAATTCCGGGGACCGTTTGAATAAGTAGATATGAATCATAAACCCATAATAGCAAATAAATAATCTATAATCAATCAGCAGAAAGCACTCAATCAGTAATCTATAATCAATAATCAATGGTCAATTAGCAAAATGCCCTTTTGGCAACCGAGTGAAGCAGACTTTAAACTGCACTGAGCTCATGAAAAATACAAAAGACAGAGAATCACAGCACTCTTGGCAAAATATACACAAGCTGAAAGGTTTGAAAAGATAATGCTTCTATAAATATTTAGGAGGCTCGAAGACTAATTTGCAGGATTCTAGTGATCTTTGATTAGTAGTGAAAAGCTTGGTTTATCTGCTGTGTGTCAGCCTGGCTCCAAATCTGTAGATCTTCACGACTGGTCTGAAGTTAATGATGAGGTCATGAAGAGCAGAGCTGGAATGAAAACCAGAAGACACTGTGGCCCTCCTGGGCCCTGCATTACAGGGGTACCCAGTTCTGGTCAAGAAGGGCTGCGGTATCTATGTGTTTTCAGTCCTGCTGGCATTTAAAGGCCTGAATGAGCTCAGTATTGGCTTAACTGGTCCAACCTAATGGCTTCTTCCAGCTTCAGGGTGCTGCTGTTTTAAAGAGATCTGGACAATCAGCTATTCAGGGTTTCTACACCATGCCCCTGAAGGCTTGCTGATTTCCTGGGGTGGTGCAGTGGTTCTGTGGCTAAGGATCTGTGCCTGTAGCTAGAAGGCTGCTGGTTCGTATCTTGTGGCTGGCAGAGGAATCCTACTCCATTGGGCCCCTGAACAAGACCCTTAACCCCAACTGGTCCAGGGGTGTTGTATAAATGGCTGACCCTGTGCTCTGACCCCAAGCTTCTCTCCCTGTCTGTGTGTCTCAGACAAATTCCTAATACAAGAAATTGCATATGACCAATAAAGTGATCTTATTTTAAATTAGCTTAATTGCAGTCTTAACTGAACTAATAATTTATTTTTATCTTCTCAAATGTTTGGAATTGTATGATACTAATATAAGGCAATTGTTAAAAGACAACCTCCAACATGTTTAAAAGCTGAAAACTGTCAAACCATTAAAATCAATTGTATTATTCAGTCAATCAAAGGTTCAATTGTGTAACTGACAGCAGAGCTGAAACAAAAGCCAGCATGAATGTGATCGAAACTCCAGTCCAGTTTTACATTCAAATTTGAACTGTGATTTAGCAAAGTTTTAAACTTAATCATAAACATCTAACAAAATACAGCGATTAATATTTCAGGTTTTCCTAACATTAACTCTTGAGTGAGAAACACAATAATGAATCAGGTCCAGACTGTGTTTCATTCAGTAGATGTTATATAACCATAGTCAAAAGTGAGAAATCTGCAGTCTATGGAATGGAAAATTTCAATGAAAATGGCACATGTATTTCTTATTTATTATTCGGTTCATAATTATTGTTGCTGGCAAAAAAAAAAGTAGTTTGACTGCCAGGTTTATTTCTGTCGCTAAATCATGCTCTCGGATTAATTAACAAATTTCTCTTTCAGTGTCTTAAGGACAAACCAGACGAAACTCAGATTAAACTGGTTTTCTGACACTTTCAGACACTTCCATGAGAATGGTAGCTTCTTAAAATATTTAAAAAAGCTTGAAAACTTACCAGTAGCAGCAACTGCTGAGAACCAAAACAAATATTTAACCAAAGAAATCATGACTAAAACGTTAAAAGAAAAATAAAGGTTGCGCAAGATGAGAAGGAATATAACTGAGTCTTAGCTGTTTCAAACTAGGCTGTAGAACGGCAGACCGCGCGTATTTATGAATATTTCTTTCTGATTGGGGAGTTTGAAAAAATCTTTTCACCTATCTGCTTCGAGCTTTTAGTTTACGTTGGTGTTTCATTAAACTAAATGAAAGTGAAACTGGTTACTCCTGCCATCTCGATTCGAATATCGTATTTTGAAAAGAAACAGGAAGTTCACTCCAACCTGCAGTGAGCCTGAACTATGCATTGTTGTAATAAAAGATCTAAATGCAAAAGTTAGAGCTCTGAATTACAGATTCCAAGAAGGGCACTGCTGTTGTACCCTTGTGCAAGAAACTGCACTCCAGTTGTTTTAATTAGTGCCTTTATATGTCGCCTGGTTGTCATTAAAATCAGCATTTTATTCTCAGTTAATGTTCCTGGAAAGAAAGGAATAAAAAAAGCATTTATTTGAAAAATAGATTTGAAAAATTGAAATAAGAAAGCTGAGGGAAATAATTTCAATTGCCAAATGAATACAACAACTCTCTAGTTCAGGCATCATGTACTTCAACACTTTACCCATAAGCACATTTTTATGTCAAATATTGATTTGCAACATTTCAGGCTGTTGCAGAAAACAGGGCAATGTGGTGCATGAGGGACCACAAGGTGTGGTATGGCAGTGACTGAAGAGCATGCTTAAGACAACTGAAAGACTATACAGAGTTTATTCTCTGCAGTGGAAGGAGGCATGCCAAGTCACTGACTGGAGCTATTCCAGAAAAACAGGGACACAACACTGGTCCTTTGGGACATTGGTGTTTTGGTACATAGGGTCCATGGTGTTCAGCGTCCTGTGAGTGAGAGTGTCCTATGTGTCTCTGTGTCGTTTAACTACAAGATTGATAGGCTGTAATAAAAAGGGTCTACTAAATGAATTCTGTAGTCTGTAAATGAATTGGTGGTACTAGGAGATATAAAGAAACCTGTAGCAGTGAAAAGGGACAAAGCACCCTTAGAACTGCTAGGTGGCGTAATTGGCTACAAAGCAAAGAAAAGTTCCTGCACTTTGGGAACACGATCCATACTATATCCTTGGTAAATTCATTGCATCATATTTTGTAGCTTTAAACAAAAAGGAGCAAAATTAACTACATCAACGAGTATTAATTATCACATCTTAGTTCTATAATTAGGAGATTCTCAAAAACACTTTGAAAAAAAGACTTTGATTTTTGGGGCAAACATGATATCAGTGACAGAAGGAACACAGCATTCAAAGCCACTGGACTTATTTTCGCTAGTTTAAAAAAAAACGTAAAGTGTATTTGTCCTAAAAGAATACGTACAATACAAAGCTCTTAGCAGCTTCCCACTCATGTCAAACAAACTCAAGCCACATAAAGGAGCTTTGTAAACTACAATCAGTAAAATGATCTTTTTTTGGTCTCCCCCTACTTGATTGTAGTCCGTTTAGTAAATAATACTTTATCTCTGTACTTTGAAAAAAAAGACAAAAAACAGAAAACTCTCGCTCTTTGGTCTGCTTAAGCTTGTAAAAAGAAAACGTCCTTCCATGCGAATGCTTTTTGTCTTTGTATTGGTTATGCAATACTTTTAAAGACAGAAAATGTCATCTGACTGCCTCTACTATTGCAGAGGATTACGACCTCCCGATTCTACAGTCTCATGTTCATAAGATACCAGGTTCCACAGGAACCACAGTGTCAATGACAAAAAGGACATAGCATTGAAACCCACAGGGTTTTTTTCAATAGTCAGACTATCATAACTCAACCAACAGAGGCAACAAGGATTCACAGTTTGCAGTTTACAGGGGTTACAAATAAATGCATAATTCTGAATTGACACATACACAAATCTCACGGAACAAATATGGAAACAAGACTTCTATGTACTTACATGAAGTAAAGCACTTTGCAGAGCAGGAAGTGGAATCATGATGATCTTCAATATTAACACCAGACTTACCCTAAACAAAGCCAGAACAAGACAGAAAAAAGATACCTCCCTCTTGGATTCATGCACCACTCAACAGAAATCTGTAATACCAAAGTAACTTATCTCAGGAAATGAAAATACAGCTAACATATGTGCCCACTTCCTGGCTTGCAAAGGATCTACAAGAAAATCTCTCTCTATCTGTTTTCTCTATGGCAACTCCTTGTATTTAGGAGCTCTCACATTCTTATTTAACCAGCCCAATAGTAGCTGATGCTGAAGCAATTGCTTGTGTTCCCCCACCATCATGGAGGAGATGTCGGGTTGGACCTAGAAATTCAATTAGGACAACAACAATCATCATTGCATCGTTGTTGTTTTTTTTCTAGGCACCCATCAGTTGACACAGCCTGGGTTTGATGACTCTGGGGTATCGACTAGAAATGAGAGGCAGAAGAAGAAAAAAAACACAACCTGATAAATAAAAATCATTAGAATCATTATTCAATCTGTTTAGCTGTTCAGCTGTAGCCACAAGCCTTTCTGGAAGGGAAGGACAAAAGACAGAGGAAGACAAAGACACACCCTGATACTTGCTAATTATCATTTGCCGTCCTTCGGATGAGATGTCCTGACTCTGTGGTCATTAAACAGCCCAAGATCTTTGTCAAAAAGAGTAGGGGTGTAGCCCCAGCCCTGGCTTAACTTCCCATTGGCCTTTACCGATCATGGCCTCTTGATACATGGCCTATTGATTCCCCATGTATGAACTGGCTCCATCACTCCGTTCTCCTCCCCACTGATAGCTGGTGTGTGTACTGGCACACTATGAGTATGTACTGGCACACTATGGCTGCCGTCACATCATCCAGGTGGTGCTGCACATTGGTGCTGGAGGGGTGTCCCCATTACCTGTAAAGTGTTTTGAGTGCAGTGTCCAGAAAAGTGCTAACTAAGTGTAAGGAATTATTATTAGTATCGTCCTTGTTGCATCATCTCTTCCCTATAAACTAAGACTGTTAAAGCCAGAGGGCACTGTATCGACTCAGTGAGGTCTCCACTTGTTTCCATGGCAGTGTGAATGTATGGAGAAACACTGTACACATTAGTATCCTTGCAAGTGCATTCATTAATCCAAATTGTATACGTACCCATTCATAAAGACCCATGGAGTAATGAATGCTTTGAAATGTGTGGGCTTCTCATCCATGAATCCTTCATGATAAGCATGACCCTGGTCTAATGTGGGGATACAAGGAAAAGCCACTTAGGCAGTCTAAAATGTCCTGAATTTGCGGGAGTGGGTGTCTATCAGGAATTGTCTTTTTATTTAATTCTCTATAATTTACACTGAGACGCAGGCTTCCACCTTTTTCCTGACACAGACTACAGGAGAGAAATAACAACTTTTTGGTTTTGTGACCCAGTATTTTGCTAGCAAGTCCTGCACAGATTTTTGACTTCCTTTAGCAATGGCTTTGGTACAGACGTGTAGTTCTCCTGCACTTGTATTCTGTCTGCAAGGATAATTTTCAGTTTTAATTCAGGGATACACCCTATGTCATCTTCAGTCTTTGCAAAGACATCACATTGCTCTTGCAGTATTTTGTTTATGATTCTCTCTTGGTCTAAGCTGAGATGGCTCAGATTCACAGGATTGCTCTGGTTTTCCGTCACTGGAGAGACCTTCAAGCATGTTCACAGGGTTGGGTTTGGCAACCACTACTCCAAGCATTGAACTTTTCTCTCCAGTTTTGGTGTTCCTATGACTGAGTCCTGACTGAGATAATGGAAACATTGATTTAATGCTTTGAAGACTCCCAAGAGAGTACGACTTAGAAGTACAGTGGTGTGTGTTGAATTCCACTCTGGGATTTAATTACACAGGAAGAACCTTTGAAAGTTTTAAAAACTCCTTTGTACACATTAAGTCCAACAGGAATTTGACTTGGTCCTATTTGTTCGAATAAAGTGATAGTGTTATTTTGAGATCTTCCCACATCCTACTTGACACTTAACATCTGTCGTCTGTAGACCCTAATACAGATGGGCTTCTTACCACTTCTCACTATGAGGCTGTTTTCACATGGCTGTATTGACCCTTTTTGAATTGTATTTACTAATGCCTCAATTTTATATTTCTTAATTGGTAGCCTCACCCAACAAATCAATCAGTGTTTTTCGACTGTTTTCCTCTTGGTCCATGGGACTGTTGATGATTTCTTCTATCACCCATTATCGGGTGTTTCCTCGCTAGAAAAGGAACTCGAATTGTTTGAAGGCTTTCCCCATCTAGCTTCAGGCCGACATCAACTTCAGCTCACCCCTCAAATGGAATTGTGGTGCTGGTCACTGAAATAACATTGATGCTTTCTTCTGGTCTGATCAGTTCATCTAAAGGCCTCAGTTGTAGGTCAGGTAATTTCTGTTGCATCCACATTCTTTCCATCAGGCTAACTTGAGCTCCTGTATCAAGCAGAGCTGTACTTGGCACGTCATTCAGAAGGCAATTGAACAAACATTTCCTTCCAATTAGTTTGACAATGTGTTGAGGACACCTAGGTTGAGATTGTGTAATTCATTTAACAGGTATGGTAAAATGTATGGTTGTTGTTCTGTCTTGAGTATCAACTGACTTGCATTTCATTCATACTTTCTTGTTTGTTTTCTGTTTTCAATTTACATAAGCCAGGGACATCGGTGTTCCCTCGGTCACTGGTTGTCCCTTTGCTGTGACCACATCCCGTGTTCCGATGACTGTGGATGAGTCAAACAACCTATTGCCTTGTGTCCAGCAATTCCACACTTAAAGCAATGCCGAATTCCTCGTTGGGTGCATTCAGGACAGACCTTGATGTTTTCTGTATGAGGAGATGATGTGCTGCTTTTGGAGTTGTGCTGATGTGTATCAATTCTCTCAGCATCCCTCAGCTTTTCAAGGTACTTAGTCAGCATCTACAGTTGTGAACTCAGTTCCTGTAAAGCTACCTGATTGAGCAATCAATCCAGGCTGAAGTTTAGGCTAGTCACTGTTTGTGAGCTACACTAACATTAACATTTGAAATTTTGTAGTGAGGATATTTACCTGAGTGTTTCAGTCTCTCAGCTTCATCCTCTGAGGCTTCTATGGTTTCCTCTAGCAAAATTTCATCTTTAATGTTGGGATCACAAAAGTATGGTTTCATATCCCGCCTTATATTCTCATATATATTGTTTATTCCTTTATAGATTTAATGTAGAAACATTCCCTGTACTAATTGCTTATCATACTTGATTCTAGATTCCACTTGTGATGACAGTAAAACCTTTTGTTTAAGTCCCATCATGCAGTAGAGAAAGTGCTTTCCTTCTCATGCTGCTTGGCATTAATCAACTCTTGAAACACTTCTGTCGCAGCTCTTTCCCTCAGGTGGACTCTCAAAAAGTTTTTCAGTCGAGTAAGGGTTAAATCTTCCTTATTCCAAAGCATTTCTTTGAATATCCCAAGTCTGATAATTCTCAGAACAGCCCTTATTATCCGTGATTCACTCGGTTTTTCTTTTATACCTTTATTAAACCTGTTTAATGATGTTATTGGGCCACTATTAATTTTGAATTCTTTGTGTTGCAAGAGAGCTGTCTTTTCTCTAACTGGCAATGTGTTACAACTACAAAGACTAGTTGGATCATCAGTATCATTACTGGGCACTTTATCTGCTTTCTTCTCAACCATTTCGTTTGGAATAGATGTAGTACAGTATGCCTTAGCTGTTCAATCTTTTTGCAATCTTTTTACTTTCTTCTGCATGAATGCATGTTAATTTAAACTGAGAACACCACCTAACAACCGTATATCCACTCACTCCCGGCCAAAAGCTTCCCGTCTTGCGCCACTCCGCAGCAGATAAAGAACCGGACATTTGGCACTTCCATATCATGAATCAGATCTTATTTATCTAGCCCTTACATCATAGAATACAAGCAATTGCTTCATAGATTACCTGTAACATAATCTGATGTATTACTGTCAGAAAAGTAATGTATAAATCAGAAAATGTCGCTGACTAGCAATTTTAACAGTGTTAGGACCCTTTTACCCTGCAGCATAGACTTTATATCTCCCAGAATCACGATTGTAGCTAAAGACCAGCACTATCATACCTGCACAGGCTGTAGTACTGCTAACCACCTAGAAACACAACCAATGACAGACCTGTCAATCAGACCATTGCCTTGACAGTGACATCATAATTAATACCTGCAAATATTTAAGACTTGCCCTTGGAATACTACATCTCTCAGTCTTAGATGCCAGAGCTTTTCTCAACTGCTCTCTGTTGAGTCCTCTCCTGTGTTCAGTACTGCAAACTGTGTCCCCTAAATTCTCCCTTGTCAGTTTTTTTTTACCTCTGAATCCTAAAAAGAGGGGCATATGGTCCTCCTAGCTAGGGCTCAGACCTTGTTATAGGGGTTGATGGGGGTGGAAAAATGGTTATGATGTCTTGGGTGTTGGCAGAACTTCCTGCATGCACATGACCAGGTGCCATGGAGCTCTGTCCCTCTACCTGCCCCCTCTGGTCCAGGTCCTGTCAGCACTGGCTCAGTACCACCTCACACCTTAATGTGCCATCCCATACTGTGCAGGAACTGAGTGGTCCCTAAGCAACCAGTGTGTCCTTTAATCCTAGTTGATTGACAGCTGTCCCACTGTCTCCACTAGAAGGACCTTTGGTTGATGGGAAACTCATTGTACAAAGAAAGACAAATGCACAGCCCTTACAGAGACACTGGCCATTTCATGAAATGTTAAAGTCAGTGTGTCAGTTATTGCCTCACACCCAAATATTTCACTCCATGACACAAATAATCAAGATTAGTTTTGGAACAGAATTTGTATTTATAAAAACTGTACAAGTTGAGTGAAAAAAGTCAATTTAATTGTAAATATTCTCTACATTTTCCATAATACTTGAAAATTGATTGGGTTAAAGTTTATTTACCTATGTACTCCTAAATTATGATAAATCAGTTTTTATGAATCTTGCATATTTGCATAATTTGTTGTTCCCAGCATAAATTTCAAACATTTGAAACTGGAATTTGATTAATATTTGATAATGATTAACATTTGAAGTTAAGCAGGAGTCACAGAAAGCAGGGGACTCTTGTGCAATTGCATTCGTAATGTAAAAATATACAATAGTATAGAAAATTGTAGTTACAGACATCATTAATATCCAACCAAATTTTTTCCAACATGCTAGTGTGTCCCGAAGCATAAAGCTATTTTAATTAAACGTTAAACATTTGAAATCTACAGTACGTTGTTCAGGGATGTGCCTTATATGTTATTTTGATATGACACTTCATTAGTAGTAGCTACTACTACTACAATTCATTACTCGACTGCGCCAGGTTTGACTCAATGGCACTACTGTACGTAGAACTGTCATGACCATGGATCAAACCACCAGAGGACGCCAAAGAAAATCGTTTCTAAGTATGTAAACACCCTCACCTGAATTCACGGATTAGGTGATTGAAGAACTGAAATGTGTACAGTCTCACATGGTTTTGATTGTGTGGTTAGCTGTGTATAAAAGAGTGTCTCACGGTGGTCACAGTGTGTGTATTGTGGAGTGAGTAGTTTGGGAGATATTGATATTTATGTTCTAGTATTGATGTACTGCTTTTTAAGGCAGTTTTTGTTCATTGCATCATAAGAGTCCTTTGTTTACACTTTTTAAAAGACATAATAAGTCTAGGAAATCACCTGGGCCCTTTAAAAAACCTGTCTTTGGAGTGGTTTATGTGCAAATGTCCCTTGAGCCACTTTACCAAAAGCAGGGATCTTCCACACATGAAAAGTAAGAACTGCGAAAACAAAACTCCCACCAGACATGTAGGCGATTTTCTGATAACTCATTTCTCAAAGGCTACATTGATTTATGGCTGACTTGCTTTTAGATACTAGTCTTTACAAATTCCTTACACTTAAACATTTTTCCTGGAAATTACAGAGCAATTGCGCAAGTTAAATGTTGAAGAATTGGTAATCATAATACTCATCTGATATGAGTAACTGTGCTAATAAAAATGTAACCTGAATGTCATGATGTTAATAGTCACTGTACAACATGCTATGGGTGTACGAAAAGGATGTTATATACAGTGGACATATACAGTGTTATAAACAGTGGATATAAAAAGTCTACACACTCTATTGAAAATTTTTATTTCAATTATTTTTCCTAATAATTATCTATTTGTTTTTCTCTTGACTTTTGTTGGTTGTAAGGTCACATTAAGGATGGAAAAATGTCTGACATGATTTATCTTGATTTCTGGCTTTTTTTTCCTGGAAACCTGCAATTTCAAAAAGGGTGTTTAGAATTTTTATATCCACTGTAGTTCACAAGATTTAAATAATATTTCAGGATATTTGCTTATAAAGAAATGAAACCAAAATGCAGTGATCTTGTTTAATACTTCTGAATTACATAATCTGAAGTTTTAAATTACATAATTTCTAAACATGATTTGTGCACTGTGGTTTTATTTCTTTAAAAATAAAAAGGTTTTATTTCTTTAAAAAAAGGTCAAAACCCAAGATAATGTAGTTAATTTTATAGATGATACATGCAGTATATTCTTACCTTATATACTGTAGCTTGAAAGCAATCAGTGCCTGAAATTGGATTATTCTGCCTGCAGGACTGTGCGATCTGCAATACATACTGTATGTTCCTCTGACTGTTCACATCAAGTTTTAACTTCAGCTTGTAACATCAGAAAAGAAAGCTTTTTGTGATGTGTCTTCAATCATCAAGCAAAAATAAGTCATGAAATGGGGCTAGTCATTGTTAATGTGGCACAGCAGATGTCACAGCTGACCCAGCACAGGCTGCCTATCCTCCATACATTTATGAAAACTACAACCGTGTGTACACATTACGTTAACCCTAATGAAAATACACCTGACAAGTCAGCTACCACCTGAGTCCCAAATATCCTTTGATAATCAGAGACTTCTGTGACCCTGCTGCAAATGAGGAGCAATAGACCAAAATGTAATGTATGCCAGGATTCATTTATCAATTTTCTTCCAATATTTTGTGCTATCCTAAATTCCAAAGAAACACCATACATTTGGACAAGCCCTGTTTTTTGCTAGTCATATTACACTTCCTGCTAAACTGGCACAGAGTAGAGACTCTGAAAAGCCACTCTGCTCATGGTGAGATAATGAGATAGTAAAGCCAGGCATCTTCTTCATGAGGGACAATTCATCTGACCTGCTGGACCTTAGCAGAAGAGAACATACAAACTCCACACAGACAAAATTAAGTGCAAGACTTGAACCCTGGATTCTGGAACTGCAGCAATTCTGTTTTTTTTTTTGTCAACACTTATCACCATCCCCTAAGGTACCAGTACAGAGACTGTCCAGTTTCAAAACATTTTATTTCACAGCATACTTTTAAACACATTATTTTATTTTACAGCTCTTTCTCTTTTATTTCTCCAACTTCCTGATTCAGTATCAATATAACAACTGGCTACAAATTACATTTCAACATACAATTTACAACCTTAACTGACAATAGAGGAAGGAGGGAAATCTGTATTGCTGAGATACAGGTAGTCAAGGTAACAAGGTTACTGTCATCTGAAGATGGGAAAATGACTTGAGGAGAAACAAAGAGAAGAGTTGTGTTTAGGTCTCAGGAAAGAGCAGGAAAGGACCTAAACAGTATATAGTGGAATATTCCAGGGAGTTTGTGTCCACAGGATTAAAATTTATTTTTTACTTAAATTTACTTAAATACAATTTAATTTAAGTTAAAATGTATTTGTTCGTTTTTACATTCTTATATTGTATCCACCTCTCCCTCAAAAAAAAAAAACATAATAAAAAGGCATAAGAAGAGAAACTGTGACTAGGCTATGCATTGACAGTGCATTATTGGAAAAACAATGCAAGCAATGAAAAAAGAACACATTGTACATAATACAATTTAGGAAACAGCTTGCCTCAACACATACCTATTAATACTGAAAACATGTAGTTACCAAAGGGATATTTCTTCTAACATCTTTCATTACTTATAACACTATTACATATATAAACCATTTTGTAATGTAGTTAAATTAAAATATAACATTAAATACATTTCATACATATATACACAAAAGTGCAACAGTACACATGGAATAAACAGTTACAGAGGTAGAACACTGACAGTGTGGTTTTCAAGACTTTTTTAAATCTTAACATGTGAGCCCTGAATTGGACAAGACATTTAATCTCATCGCAGCAGAAATTCATTATATTCCTATTGCTTTTGATCTATTGTTCTCTGTTAAGTTTTTTTATTTTGGTTTAATTTGTATTGCGAATTTATAACTGCAAAATTACCCTCCGCACAATAACAATCAAACAAAACAATATAAAACCCCTGACATTTTCCCCTAGCCACACAACTCCATTGCTACAAATTTGTATTTTAAACATTTTATCTCCTTATCTAACATTTAAGTGCTGTTTTTAGTTTCTTCTATGATTTTTTAAATGCTCTTGGCCTTTTTATGTTGCAGACACTCGCCTGTAAGACACTCAGTTTACATTTATGTCATAACATCAGTTCAAAACAGACATGTTGATTAAAGGTTTATGACTTCAGTCTGTTCCCAAAGCTGCAGGATTTGGTTTGATTTGGGCACTAGAAAGGAAATAAGAAACGCTTCCTATAGCTGATGCTGTCTTGTAAGACACATCCTCATATCATTGCAGATCTCCTTCTCCAATTCTGGTAATCAAATAAGGCAGAGGTCTCTTGCAAATGCATCACAAGAAGGTGACAAGATGCTTTTTCTAGCAGCCATAAAGAAACTCATCTGAAGCAACTCTGCACAAACATGTTAGCAATTGTAGTGTTTCAGAAAAGCGCAGCAAATTTGACATCCTTATTGTCTTTTAACATAATTCATACATTGTTTGTGCAACAAATATGAAGTTTGTTTCATTCTGTGAAATCATTTTATTAAAAAAAAATCATGGATCATGGACTCTATGCCTTTCCACTGAGATCACAAAATCTGGTCACCTGCGACAGGCTGTTGTGAGCCAGCTTCAGTTGCACATATAAAAAAAGGGCATCTCTCTCCAATCCACTGCCTTCCATTTGAGGCTAATTCCATACAAGGCCCTTATGAAACAAACAAAGAAGACAAATCACACCTTTAACATGTTAATACTTTCATGAGACTCCTTGTCTTCTTCAGGTTTGAGCTTTTGTTTCCTGATGACACCTAACAAAGAAAATATTACAGAATCAATACCATTTCCTCAATTTTGAACCTCTCACTTTTACAGTTTCCAGTACATGGTAACTGTAAAGGCAATGCCTACCATCTAGCTAATGATTCTGAATTATTACAACAGAAATAAAGCTAATTCAATGGCTTTGGTCTGAACTTACCAGTGCGTTTTGCTTTCCTCATGACCAGAATGACAGCCACAGTGGTTATTAGAACTACCGCAATGACGATGCCCATGACTTCAAAAGAATGGCCCTTAGGAGGCTCTGCAAAAGAATCAGTAAAAATGTTAAGCTTTTTCTTTCATTTGTAAAGACACCATCCTGTGCTTTTCCCTGTTACATTCCTGAACATTAGGGACCACTTTCAGAGCCTCTGTTTTCAATCCATGAGAATGCTAATGTAAGACTCCGTTTTTGTGACTGTTTCCATTAGAATAAATAGAGCCTGCAAAGGTAGTAAACACTGTATGAGCACAACCCTTCACTTTCTCATCATTTGACCCCTAAAGGAAGAGATCGGTGCACCTGATGTGTCATTCATGCAGATCCACTCTGACATCGTCTTATGACAGAAATGTGAAAAAACACCTTAAGGAAAGTACCTCAGTAAACCTTTCCCTTCTAAAGCTCTGAAGTGCCCAAGATTTATCAAAAGCTCGTCAGCCCCTTCCACTGCTTACTTCTTACAGTCAAACTCATGCGGTTCTGCAGGATTTACGGGAATGGATTTATTTGGAAAACACCAAGTACTTCTTTTACTTTCATTTTGTTTAGACAGTATTAATCTGAAGTGGCTCCAATTTCAAGGGTTTGTGTTAATCGCCCCTGCTGCTCTAAAGAAGTCACACAGCTCACTTCACACATGAGAAGCGGTAAGTCCCAGGAAAGAAAACTTGTTTTGTGTCTTCTCGGCAAAAGTGGTAAAACCCCTTTTATATAAGCAAGTTTCCTAGGTACTATCTCAAATACAGTAACAACATCAGAGTGAGTCATCCAGAGAACATATTTTTGAAAACAATGTGAAAGGAAAACACAGGCGCAATGTACAGAATATACCGTACCAGCATTAAGAAATAAGACTAGTCTGTAAAGTGAATATTAGAATGTACAGGTATAGATCTACTGTAGACTTCAGCACTACAGTCCTCTTAGAAAAATATCAGTTAAGCACATTTCATTAGCTCATATACCAACATGGCAGACTGATCTGTATGATGTCACTATTTTTACAGATTTAGTGATTATGATGAGCTGAAAGGAAAAAGTTATGTGACAGATAACTGCTATGATTTTAGTTTTGGAGCTGGAAAATCAATGCTTCATTTTTGCAGTTTACTTCCATCCATTTTCTAATCCCTTAACCCAATACAGGGTTGCAGGGGAGGCAGCAGGAACACAGCAGGGTACACCCTGGACTGTCCAGCTCAGGGCACACACAGACATAAACCTGCACACACTCACACTAGGGCCACTTTTCCCAGACACCAATTAACTTTCTAGTACTGTATGTCTGTGGACTGTGGGGGAAACAACAGCTCCTAGATAAAAACCACACAAATACAGGGAGAACATACAAACCCTTGTACAGATAGCACCGTAGTGACTGAATTGAGGGCCCCAGCGATACCAAACCACTGCGCCACCCGTGTAGTTCACTTGTGCAGTTCATATACACGCACAGGGTAGCGCTTACTTCAAGACTCACCTGGTATTCTTTCCTTTTCATAGTATATACGCTTGTGAATTTGTTCTGTCTGTCCAGGAGTGCTGACAACGCAGTCTACATATCCGTCTTGCAACTGTGACAGCTCCAGTGTGAGGTTGCTGGTTGCAGTTAGGGTCTTGTCGGCGTTTTCCACGCTCTGCTGGGCGGCGAGTTTGGCGAGGCTCTCGGTCACGTTCCATCGGATCTCGGGGGCCGGCTTGCCCGTGGCCGAGCACATGAACATCACTTTCTTTTCCGAAACAGCCGAGGATGAAATCTCACGTTGCTCGGCTCTGATTTCGGGCTTACCTGAAATTACAATGCAGCAAATATTACTTTATCTTCATGACAACAGCTTAGTAGTGCTGTACTAGCAGCTATGTTGCACTGCGAGAATGTTAAAGGAATTCCCAAATTCACAATACTTTCGGTTTCATTTCTGTTTTTAAAGCTGTTGAATCATGTGTAAGTGTCAAAGCAGTACTTCAAAAAGTACAGGGGATGATCTCACGTCATGTGATGTTTACTGACGGAGAAAAATATGAAGCTGTACATTACCTGTCACCACTAAAACTCCCCAAAAAGGTTGAAAAACGCCAACTAAATCATGCTCTCAGTGTTTATTTAGTACGATGTCATGGAAACGATAGGCTGAAACGAATCAAACTTTCCAAGATATAAACACACCTTGGAGATTATCTGTTAATGTAAACAATTTGTCTTTATTTTTATGAATACAGATTGACACGGCTGTATTCGTATAGCATTCAGTATTACTTTTGAAAGACATTAATTACTCATTAAGCTTAACGACGTCTGGGCCAAAACGTTGGGTCAAAATCAACTATGTTTTTGTACAAGTAGTTTACAGTTTAGTTTATATATTTAGGTGCAAGTCGAAGATTTATAACAGAATTGAGATTAGAATTGACAACAGTTCAAATTTAATAACTCCAGGTAATAACTACAGTTTATCATGACAATAGTTTCCATAATTTACCGCGTGCCATTTCGTAATGTGCTCTGTTACTGAATAATAAATCAAGCTTACTGTATACAGTCAGGCAGATTTGTCCTCGTATAGATCCATTTGGGTAGGCATTAAATGAACATATGTAGCATGCCTCGTCTTCCAGTGTCACATTCCGCAGAGTTATTCTTGTGGTTCTCAGGTCGGCGTCAGAGAGGTTCACTCTCGTCGAGTATGACGGTAAGATAGTAGTTCCATATTTTTCACTGTGGGTTGCCAGGTTCTCGGCAGTCCGGTCGTCTTTGTAAGTCTTCTGCCATGTGACTTGCAAAACGCCGGCCGTTTCCGGGAGGGTGCAGGAAAAGGTCGCCTCTTCGTGTACATACGCTTTAGTAGTTCCAAACGCCTTTACGTTCGCGCACAGGGCTGCTGCAAGGAAACAAAGAAATCATGTAATGGCTGCCTTGATATCAGCAGTATCAACGATTATTAGAGCAGAGCTTTGAGCAATAGTGTACAGTGCTGCGGAGGAATTACAGAAATGACATCACCCCCTATCTAGACCGTGTGAAACTTCCACTGCAGAGGACCTGTTTTTTCGGTGATGAGATCTCTACTGTCTTGCAAATGTGGTGTCGTATCCAACTCAGTATTCCCTGGGAACCTGATCAATATAATATAAATATAAGACGATTTTCATGTAACACATGAGGACAAAATATGCTCCACATAACCTGTGTTTACTATCTTTCGGGTTCCTTGTCCTGTGTAAAGATAACTTTAGCTTTCATTCTTAGGTGGCAGTAACATTACATTACTCTTATTACTAGCAAACGCATTAACCACACGGAGAAACCGATATAAACACACACAAGCAACGATATAAGGCACTAACAATGCACGCAGGAACTGCCTGTATCACTGATTATCCTGGGACGTTTTGCAGAGACTTGCGGAGGTGGGTACAGATTTCCAGGGATAATGAATGGGATACAGTTTCGGGAGGAGCAGGGAGAGTAGCACTCTTCACCCGAGTCTGCTGCCCGAGTGTCTTGCGTGTCTGAATCCAGAAGCCTTTGATACGACGGGTGTAATCACGATCTTGACTGATAATGGGCACTCTCCAGCATGACAATGATCCAAAACAAGCATTCAGTTACAGTTTTAGCACAGCGAATTATGTTTTTTAATAATAAAAAATCTGCACTCAGGTTTTCAGAACGTTTAATACTAGAAAAGACAAGGTGATGTAGAACATAAAACATTCATTCAAATTAAAGAAATAAAAGTCGTAAATAAAATATACATTTCAGCTTACCTTTTGAACATATCAAGATCACGAAAACAAATAATCCCATTGTAGCTTTCATTGTGATGCAGTTGTATCTGGTTTATCTTCCAATAATATCCCGAAGGCACTTTTCACTCCACAGTCACAAACACTGAAATGACTGCGAGTAGCGTCAGTTCAGTATTTAAGCTCCCTCAGTGATCGGACTTCCCCTTTGTTACTGTCAGTAATACATCTGTAGATTCCAAACCACAACACAAGCACAAGCAGTGTGTCTTTGAATTGAATAACAAAAGCATGTGTGTATGTTTGTGTCTGTGTGTGACCTGTGTTGGACTGGCGTCCTGTCCAGGGCATATCCTGCCTTGCACCAGATGCTTGTGGGTATAGACTCCAGCTCCCCCAGGGCCCTGAACTGGATGAAGTGGTTAGAGTATGGTTGTTTCCCACCATTATAAATAGGAGTATCATAGGATAGGATCAATAGGAGTATTAAAACACTGTCATACACAGACCATATGTGTGTAACAGCAGGCTACATTATGATTGTCTTTTATACATTTTCCATGTTATGCCTTAGAATTACTGCCAGGAATCATCTCATATTTACTAATGAATCATGAATCTTGCAATGTTCTCTTTATGAACAAATTTCCTTAGTAATGTAAACTATGGCTGATTCATTACTTGTAAAAAGCCTGATTAAAAAGTAAGTAGTTCTGTTTTTTTTGTAGTAAGAATTTACTCGTTTCCCTTCATGTTTCCTCTTCAGGGACAATCCAGTCCAAGCTTTCAGTAAATGTAGTTAATTGTTACGGAAATGCTTATAGTTTCATGTAATTTACAAGGGTTGTTCTATTGCATCATGAGAAACATTTTATTCAGTTGAGAATATTGTTTTTATTATAGAATGCTATGGAAACAACAGTTCAACCTACCTACAGTATATATGCCCTATACCTTAACCAGACCTGCTTGAGAAACATATACTGTGCAGTATTAAGTTTTCCTGGGCATTTTATTTTTTTCTTATTTCTACTTTATTGTTCTCTCTCTCCATTTTCTTTTCTCTGAAAAGTAATGAAGCTACTGCCACACTCATCTCTGCCTTGCAAGTACAACATGATTGATTCTATGCTGAAAAGAAAAGAGGCACAGCGTTTCAGCTGGGACTCCTGAAGAAGGCATCACAGCCAAAACGTTGTCTCTCTTCTTTACAGTATGGAATCCAGCTTATGCATAGTGACCCAACTACTTACTTAAACTTCAACATGTTTGATTCTGGGTTTATTGTTTTAAAACAGGGAGAACACCATCATTAAAACCAATAAATTAGTCCACAATATTCTTTTCTTTATCTGGATCTGTGCATTATGGAAGCCAACCCATTGATTCAGAAACACAAAGCACACAAAAATGGAAACTGTGAACTGGAAACCTCTTTACATAAAGAGCTGTGGTAGTATGGAACAAGCTATCATCATGTTGTTGAAGTTGATACACTGGCTTTTTTCAAGAACAGACTGATTCTGGTTGATTATGATTCCCAGATGAATTAATAATAATAATTGCTTACACTTATATAGCCCTTTTCTGGACACTCCACTCAAAGCGCTTTACAGGTAATGGGGACTCCCCTCCAATGTGCAGCATCCACCTGGAAGATGTGACAGCAGCCATAGTGCGCCATGATTGATAAGGGCCAATGGGAAATTTGGCCAGGATGCTGGGGTTACACCCCTACTCTTTTCGAGAAACACCCTGGGATTTTTAATGACCACAGAGAGTCAGGACCTCATCCTGATTATATATCTCATCCAAAGGATGGTGTCTGTTTACAGTATAGTGTCCCTGTCACTACACTGGGGCATTAGGACCCACACAGACCACAGGGTGAGCGCCCCCTGCTGGCCCCACTAACACCTCTTCCAGCAGCAACCTTAGTTTTTCCCTGGAGGTCTCCCATCCAGGTACTGACCAGGCTCACACCTGCTGAGCTTTAGTGGGTTGGTAGTTGTGAGTTGCAGAGTGATATGGCTGCTAGAATTAGTTACTAGCAGCTCAACAAGCAACTGTAAATGGGTAGAATGGCCTCCACAGTTCTCTTATGGTAACCTTTCTCTGTGTGAATTTTGTGATTAAGATACCCTGAGTGAGCCAACCTATTTCAGACCTGGTGGCACTCAGTCTATCATGCCTTCGTTGCTTGGACAGCGTTGGAGACAGTTTCATCTGTTCACGTAATAAAACTGTATTAACAAATGTTTGCTAATATGGCAGTTGCAGTAAAAATGCATAAAAGAGGAAGATCCCACATGATCTGACAACTATTTATTAGGATACAAGTATTTGTATTTGGGTGTAAATATTGCAAGCATGGTTGTTATGCTGCTCTCTTACAGCTGATGTCTTCAAATTGATTGAGCTTTATGATAGCCTGGTGTCCTACCAGCTCGTAGTGTTGCCTGCCGTGTGCCAAGCTCTAAATTGCTGTTCTGATATATACATTTCTGATAAAGCACCTCATCTGGAGGCTGAGTGTGCTCCAGCATCCCCAGGTGCCACACTGGGGTATTAGTTTGGAAATTGCACCAGAGGCAAGAGCACCACCTATTGGCCCACCAGCACTACTTACAGCAGCAACCTGTTTTTTCTTAGAGGTCTCTTGTCTTATAACTGACTGGGCTTAACCCTTAGTCTCTGAAATCTGATGAGGTCAGACTACAAGGTCTTGATGATGCTGCTAAGTGTGTACACATTGCTCTTGTTTCCTTGAGCAGGTTACTTTACCACTCTATACCAGTTGGGGAAATGGTGGCATGATTCCTCTCTGTGGGCCCAGTTAGGCCTACTTCTGAACCCCCCACCCTTCCATTATCAGAAAACCATTTATTCTTGGTAAGGGTCACAGCAACCTAGAGCATATCATGGGACTGTGTAGGCCGCAAGGTTGAGTAAATTCCAAAAACCAACATACCAGTCTCTCCAGAGACTGAACGCGTATTGTGAAAAACTGTTTTTTTCGTTTTTAATAAATGAACAGTACCAACATTAAATTGTTCATTCTTACTTCCTCTGAATTTCTGTTCATTATGAAATAACGACTGGAGACACACTACAGTTTAAAAGTAAAAAAAAGGTTCAGCATGAGGAGGTGATAGAGAAGACAGAACAGGGGAATGCAGAGATAATGTAAAAACAGAGCTGTTTCGGGAAGTTGTGAATTACGAGATTCTGTGGGATGACTAGGACATAAAAACTAAAGGCATGTTGGTGAAGACATTCTTAGTATTATTTTTCCACCATGTCTGCTATATGTGCTTAAAGGTTTAAGATCCACATACAGTAGTTACTTATTTTTAATTCATTCATGAGTCAGTTTAAAACAAATGTTGCAGGCGACAATACAAAACATACTCTGTCTATAGTATAAACATTTAGTGCTAAATTTGTAATTAGTAGTAATTATAATAGTGATTAAGTAATAGTAATTATAATTAGTTGTACTGATATACAGCTTTTCAAGTCAAAGAATCTCAAAGCCCTGGATGTACAGGAGGGGACCCTCTTCATCCTGGGACACAATGGGACACACACACAAACACAATACAAACTGGAATGCTAAAAGATCCTAAAAAGTCAAGATTAACACTAGGTTAGTATCTGACCAGAGTGCGAGACAGCAAAGGGAAACAGCTGTGAAGAAGTACAGGCTCATTGACCACAGCCTGGCCATAGAAACTGGGCCGCACAGCCAAACCTGAAAGGACTGGTTGTACTCCCAATGCAAGCAGGGAGAAACTGTGACAGAAATGTACTTTCTGTTGCACTGTAAGAAATATTCTGGGATTACATTTTTCCTAAAATAAAAAATCTAATTCCAGAATTTCCCACTTGGCAGAATCAGAACAACTCTCAATCCTACTGGGTGAAAGGGGAGGAAACCCGATAGAGCTGCAGTCCAGGATGTGATCTGTCACAACCTGAGAAGCAGAGAGCGAGTCTGTCATGAATGTTTTATGTGATGTATATAAATGTCTCAATGCAAAGATGTATAAATGTTGTGTTAATTGTACCCACTTTAGCCATACTGTAATTAATCAGTCATGCCAATAAAGTCCTTTTAATTTGAATGTGCAAATTTGGGAAAAAGTTCCTTAACACTTTATTCATTGAGGGACGTAAGTAACATCTAAAGACTATAAATAACATTTCAATGTAGAATTCAGTGTTGCAGAAGGGTCTGGTATCTAGCATTGCATACTGTTTCTATATCGGGTACTGGTGTGTTTGCAACATAGCTATTAATGACTTACAAATACACAAACGTAATAACATTGACTAAAATTTGAGTAAATTATTAGAAACTAACAAGTACTGGAGTTTTTAGTCTTCAGGAATTAGCAGCAGGCTAATGGTACAAAAATCCCTTCTGTAAAAACAGAGCATATTATGAAATCCAAGACACAGGAAAGTAAACCAGAACCAACTGAACCAATGATTTTCTTTCTGTTGATTTGTTAATTTCAGAAAGTTTGAAACATAAAGATTCTTCTGCTTAATAAAGCACTTTCACCTTGCAACACTAGAGGCATCGGAGGCATCTGGGAAGGTGCCTGTGCTGGAAAGCGGAATGTGTCACTTTTTTTGTGAGAAGTCAAATGTTTTCTCAGCATCCAACTGAACTTTAAATTCAAGTCTATATTTCCTGTTAGGTGTGGAATTTAAGGGTCTTTACCAATTCACTTAAAAAAGGAAAATTCCCCATTAACATTGCCCCCTTTCAGTGATTCACTGGGACTCTTGAGGAAGCTGCCTGAAAGGTCAATAATAAATCAAGTACAAGCAGAAGCAGAACAGGTTTCTCCGTGCGCAAATCGTGACAAATCAAATCACTCACGTGAGCTCTGAAGTTGCTGAGCAACTCTGAGAAACTCAATGCAGCAATTCATTAATTTGAGTTATTAAATTAGTCTTTTAGCTTGGTAAAAAAAAATAGAACACTGAAATGCTGTTTGCCAGAGTTTCCACCAAATTTTAAATGATGGGTTGGGAAATGTCAGAATGCCCATCACATTTCTCAGGAACGTCTGAGGAACTCCATGCAGAAAAATGGGAACCATCTGCACTGCCAAATTTC